AAAAAAATTATCCTTAAATTAAAAACAAAATCTAATCATATTACTTAAAAGTTTAGTTGTGTTAGATCAAAATTGGACAAGACGTGGGAGTACCAGGAGTTTCGGAGTTACCCAAGTCGTGAGTAGTAAAAGTCGATCGAATTTTACAGTTTGGTTTTCCAAGTTTTTCCTATAGGTTAATTCGGTGGGCGTTGCGCGCGCGCTCTATAGCACCGCCTCGCTCCACCATTGGCGCGCTGTACTGGCCACTGTGACGTCACAGCGCCCGCACCTTATCACAGTGCCTACTGGAACTCGGCCGACCCGAGACATGCCATCTGAACTTCGCACTCGCATGATATATAGAAGGGCATAAATTATCCGACAGCTCTGAATTTCTGTTACGTCCCCTCTAAAGTCATCGCTTGCGATCATTTTACGTTTTATAGTTTTTAAATCGTAATTTTCCGATATTCCAAAACGTAGTTTTACACGTCTTGCATGAGAGGTAGAGCTTCGGTGAATTCATTGACAGCCACAATTAGCTGCTTTTTATTAAGCCTTCCACTTCGCGGCCATTAGCGCGATCCAATTTTGTGGCAACGCACGCTATGAAACCGCTAATTGAGCTATCAAGGTACATACGTAGGTAACGTAGGTACCTCCGACCTGTCGAATTAGTATCACAATGATAACTCTGCGGTACCAACGATACCTACTTACTAATTACATACATTAGTATTACCTCGGATTTCATTATTTTTTAAGTTGAGGCGGGTGATTGAGTTCACGACGTACCTACTTGGTTAAGTGGCTACCGGAGCCCGTAGACATCAAAACGTGAATGATTTATTTATTTACTAGCTGACCCGGTAGACTTTGTAGTGCCTCAATCGATAAATAAAAGACCTAAACTTTATTTAATTCAAATTTTCATATTTATCTACCTTTTAAACCTTCTCTGAACTTCGACAAATAATTCAAGACCAAAATTAGCCAAATCGGCTCAGCCGTTCTCGAGTTTTAGCGAGACTAACGAACAGCAATTCATTTTTATATATAGAGATTGACAAGCATATGTCCCACCTGATGGTAAGTGGTTACCGTCGCTCATGGACGTCAGCAATGCCAGGGGCAGAGCCAAGCCGCTGGCTTAGGTACATGCTTCCACCCAACTTGATACTTGAGGTTTATGTCTTAATTCTTTAGCAATTACGCATATTAATTTTTTTGTGAGTTGATTTTTATTACTATGTTATTCATTGATTGTCATAGTCGTTCGTGAGCATGTGCTAAGTGCATTTTTCACTAGAAAAATTTGTACCTGCCTGCAGAATTCGAACAATGACAAAGTCGCTTCGATTGATACGACTAGGTACATTGGGCGTCTTATCCTTTAGGCCACGACGACTTTATATGCAGTCTCTATTCATATTTTGAATTAAGTCGAGCCTACTGACCAATAGGTGACGACATTCATGTTGTGATTTCTATCGGTTTCGGCAACCTTTGAACATCTGGTGGGCTACGGGGTGGTCCATCCGATTGAAGAATTTTAAAAAATGCTCGCCTGTTTTGCTAGACGTGGCAGATTTTGGTGTATACCTAGTAGTTGCAAAGTACGACAGCGCGCCGCCCTTAGTTGTGAGAGTGACATATAACGTATCTAATGAACATTTTCAAATTTCAAAGAATGTTCCATATTTTGTTCGGTGTTTGGGAGTTGCAGATACCGAACAATACTTTTTTCACCACTTCGATAAAGCGGCACGACACGAGAACCCTCTCATCGTAGCCGCTGGTAACTACATTCTCGATCCTGCGGAAAGAATGTAAAGCAGTGGACGTCACTCCAAACACGTCATTTCGGATCCTCCCGATCCACTAACGGAGATTTTAGGTACCTCAAGCACCGGTCATCGTTCTTGTCGAACCCGTCGCTTGCGACGTAGGGCTCGACGAGTAAATTAATCAGACACAGCCTACTGAGTTTCTCGCGGATCTTCTCAGTGGGTCGCGTTTCCGATCCGGTGGTAGATTCTGCGAAGCACGGCTCTTGCTAGGGTTCGTGTTAGCAACGTCATCAGGTTTGAGCCCCTACTAGTTAAGGCGACGCTGATATAGCCTCTCAAGGCTATCAGCTTAGGTAGGAAAAAAAAAACTTTTTTCATTGTAATTATATTCCGACAGTACGTTTTTTTTCCTTAGTCGGTCTCTTCGTTGTTGAAGGTCGTGTCTAGCTTGGAGTGTGGATCGCTCGATGCACCATGCTTCTCCACATATTCCTGTCCTCGGCGATCTTTATACGAATACTTTAGTTATTGCGGTCACGGTCTTATGTTCATAGATGCGTTAAAAAATGCTCATTTTTAGTTTTAAGCTATGGCATAGCTTTTATCGCGGGCTTTGGGCGCGGCGACCAAATCAAGAAATTCCATAACGAAAATAAAACCTAACACCCCCACTCCGCTTACCATTTAGCACGCGTTCAACACATTCACACGTTGCGCTTGTGTAGTGTTTGTGAATAAGCGCGCGGCGTGACGTCGCACTGCATGCGCATCATGAAAAGTCTGCCCATCTCTTTCTCGCGCGGTCTAGCTTATGAATGTGAAGAGGACAGTTAATGTTTTGCTTTTGTTAACGTTTATAAACATAGCGNCTAACACCCGCACTCCGCTTACCATTTAGCACGCGTTCAACACATTCACACGTTGCGCTTGTGTAGTGTTTGTGAATAAGCGCGCGGCGTGACGTCGCACTGCATGCGCATCATGAAAAGTCTGCCCATCTCTTTCTCGCGCGGTCTAGCTTATGAATGTGAAGAGGACAGTTAATGTTTTGCTTTTGTTAACGTTTATAAACATAGCGTGGTCTCATTTTTTATTGTTTTAATATTAAATTATTATTGTAGAATTATAATTGCTTAAGTTGCTAAAAAATGCTATGCAATAGCTTTACCGCGGCAGTCCCCGAGTGCCACACGTGTTTTTATTTTTTTATCGCGGATTAATTTGAGTCCTATGGTCGTGAAGGAATCGCAAGGTCATTGCCCTTTAAATACTCTGACAGTCGTTATAAGGTGCGAGATCCCTCACCCCCTACTAGATTTACGGAGGTACTTCGGTTCTCTTTGTATTTTGTATGCCGGAGAGTGCTCTGAGGAATTGCTTAAAATGATCCCATCATCACGTTTTTGGCACCGCACTGCCCGTCACCGGAGTAGAGCCATACTACTCATCACCACTACATTCATCCATAGTGCGTTTCCAGTGACAATTTCTGCCACGTATTTACCATCCGGCTTTAGAATGAACTCGATCCCACGGTGTTTCCTAAGGGCTATGACATGTCCTTCTTTAAACGAGGTTTGCGAGGCAGCGGCTTGGCTGAGCCTCTGGCATTGCTGAGGTGCATGAGCGACGATAACCACACACCATCTGGTGCGCCGTATGCTTGTCTGCCTACAAGGGCAATAAAAAGAAACAGTTTTTTTATTACCATTTATAATTTTGTTCTCGAACTCACATTCTATTTTATTCTTAGTGATTACTGTCGGGTACTACGGGTATATATTATAATATAGAGACAAGCTGATATACCTAAACATACATACATACATATAAGAAGTTGCCGTTTTACAATACTAGCCATTTCAAACGTACCTAACTTATGTAGGCCGTATGGCTGGCAACAAATTCTAAATTCAAAAGAATGTTTTTTTGAAAAATAGGTGCGTATTTATAGAATTATATATTGACTTTCAATCATTTTGTTTTGTGATTAGTGTTTTCTTTTCACTACATTTGTATTTTTATCTTTTTGCTGCGACAGACTTCTACTTTTTCCAAAGTTTGGATATATTCTTGGCAAGAAAACAATTTAATAGCCGAGATGCATTACAAAATGCCTTTAAAGAGTGTCTGGGTTCTCGTTCATCTGACTTCAACAAGAAGGGCAATGAAAAATTACCTACCACTGCGCTGGCAGAGATGCATCGATAACACGAAAGCATACTTTGAATAATAGAAATAAAAAATATTATAAATAAATTACTATAACTTTCCATATATTCTTAGATTTGGTTGCACAAAGTACTCAATGTTGCATACCGATATCCTCAGATAAATACCCGATCAATGTGGCATCGAGTAATGATAGGCTCGTCACAATTTAAATGTATTAGCGCGGTATGATCCTTTTGATGAGAAAACCTATTTTATGTAAAAAAACCCTTCCTAATTTAATATTTTAATTTTATTATTATTTATCCAGATTTGATTTGGGTTTAAATGATTTAAAAAGACCGATGCGTTGGTCAACTTCAATATATCTGCTTACAGAAATCTAAAAAATAAGATAAAAGAAGTAGAAAGTGTGCGTGATTTTGTCGCCGCACTGTTATTCTACAAGACAAGCCTCTAGCAAAGCCTAATGTTACATTGTAAAGAGTTTAATTGCATTAATAAGAAGCTGCATTTCATTGAGTTACCTAATTATTTTTTATAAAAAAAAAATGTCACCATTCAACTTTCACATAAGTACTAAAATTTATTTTGAAAGTTAGTTTTAATATCAATTTATTATAAAAGGTAGTTGTTATTAATTCGATTCCTTAAAATAAAAATAATAATACTGAAAAATGCAAATCTCATAAGACTTTAAATTTTATTTGTTTTAAAAAGTCATCATCATCCTGCCCTTCTCCGATTTACCTGGGGTCGGCGCATCCATCCATTTCTTCTTAGGTCTACCTTTTCCTCTATATCCTTCCACATTCATAGTTAACATTTTCTTACCAACCTCATTTTCATTTCGTCTCATCACATGTCCATACCATCCCAAGCGCGCACTTCTTAGCTTCTCTGTTACAGGTGCCACTTTCAGGCTTTCTCTAACATATTCATGCATTTGTTTTAAAAAGTATTGGCTATATTTCCTAGGCCTGTTTGATGAAGAAGTGTTAAAAATCTGTTACTGACGTTTGACAGTTCACATTTTATGACAGTTTGTATGAACTAAGTTGAATGGGCCTCGTTCTCAATTCTGATCTAAAGTTTCAATTCAAGTGTTTTCTTTACATTAAAACAGAATATATATACCGTTATTGCTATTTACGTATAGCAGTTAAGGAAAACTAATTGTGAACTCTTTTAGGTAATCATGAAAATAGCAGTGGAAGGATGCGCTCATGGAGAATTAGACAAAATCTACGATTGCATAGAAACATTACAAGAGAGAGAAGGTTTTAAGATTGATTTGTTAATATGTTGCGGTGACTTTCAATCTGTACGAAATGCCGCTGATTTACGTGCAATGGCTGTACCCGAGAAATATCAACGCATGTGCACATTTTACAAGTACGTATTTAATATTTTGTGTAGGTAATATAAATTTAGTGTGGTTTGTTTGTTTGTATTCTTACTGCTGTACGCTGTAGAAAATGTATGCAATCTTTGTCTAATGTTACAATCTATATCTATATCTAATGTTACAACAGCTAATGTTTGTTTGTTACGTGATCCCGAAAATTTCTCACCAGTAAGATAGCTATACCCAATTAACTTTTACGATATTTTAATCATGGTAAATAACGACATGTATATCTGCTAAAATATATACCTCATACCTACTGTTCCAAACGGACCAGAAAGTGTTTGAATCAACTCTCTGTTCTGGTTTTGATTAATACAGTTGAAATTATGGGACATTAGACATGCGATGTTACATAATTTTATTAAAACTACGGGAAGTTATTTGTTTTTGATAGTCTACTGTTTTACTCTTGTACTATTTCATATACCATCATCAACATAGTATTAAGACCCTAATTTATATTTATCTGAAAGGTAGAGTAACCACATAAACTTCTACTTTATGTTTGAAGATCGGTACTAGTAATTTGTGATGTTAATGCGCTCAAGTAACTATCAAAACCACATAGACCATCAACTTCTAATTCTCTGCTCATTTAATACCTAATTAAATAGAAGAAATGCAATTAGTAGTGGTAGTGCTTGATGAGTCCTCCAATATAGGTTCGTTTTATTATTGAGATATTTATATTTTCAGATATTACAGTGGGGAGAAGAAGGCACCTGTATTAACATTATTTATTGGTGGAAACCATGAAGCTTCAAATTATCTACAGGAGCTTCCGTATGGTGGGTGGGTGGCTCCCAATATATACTACATGGGACGTGCTGGTGTTGTTAAGTTTGGAGAACTGAGGATTGGTGGTATGTGTGAAATATGTTAAATTATACGAAAAGTTGCAATGTATAAAGTTCATTTGTGTTATGTTATTCTCTAGCTGTTACAATCGAAATCTAAATCTTTTTTTTTTATTGCTTAGATGGGTGAACGAGCTCACTGCCCACCTGGTGTTAAGTGGTTACTAGAGCCCATAAACAACTACAACGTAAATGCGCCACCCACCTTGAGTATAAGTTCTAAGGTCTCAAGTATAGTTACAAAGGCTGCCATACCCTTCAAACCGAAACTCATTACTGCTTCACGACAGAAATAGGCAGGGTGGTGGTACCAACCCGTGCGGACTCACAAGAGGTCCTACCACCAGTAATTACGCAAATTATAATTTTGCGGGTATGATTTTTATTACACGATCGTATTCCTTCACCGTGGAAGTCAATCGTGAACAATTGTTGAATACGTATTTCATTAGAAAAATTGGTACCTGCCTGAGATTCTAACATTGGTGCATCGCTCAACACGAATGCACCGGACGTCTTATCCTTTAGGCCACAACGACTTTTATTAATATTATATTCTATTAAATCTATTAATATAAAAAGCTATTATCTAAATCTTTAAGTAAATGTGAAAAGTGGTGTGTTTGGATGTTGTTACATAATCACAGAAAATTTATTAAACAGGTTTGGATTAAATTTCACACCAAGATATTTTATAAACTAAATTAACACATAGGATACATTTATCAGGGTAAATAATACCAGACATCTATAAATGCACAATAAATATAGAAATGTGTCTAGTGGCTTGTCCTCTTATGTATCATCATAATTCTAGTAGTCAATGAATGAAAGAATTATAGAATAACTTTTCCCCCAGGGAAATGCAATGCTTTTCTTTCATACCGAACATTAAAGTTGATAGGCATATGCATACAGTAATAAATTTAATTTTGAATTTCTACCTAATATGTTCAGGAAAAGATATATTTTTAAGGGCTCTAGTTACTATTTCATAACAAATGCTTCTGACATGTGCCATTTCAGTAATATTTTAAATCTTAAAACATCTCACTACTTCATAATTGTTTGTTTTTTAGGATTATCGGGAATATTCAAAGGGCATGATTACCTGCAAGGCCTCTGGGAATGTTTGCCCTACAACCAAAATTCCATGAGGTCTGTGTATCATATCAGGTCACTAGATGTCTTTAGATTATCTCAACTGAAAGAAAAACTACATGTGATGTTGACACATGACTGGCCTCGTGGTATTACAGATTATGGAGACAAAGATCACTTGTTGAGAAGAAAACCTTTTTTAAGGTATTTGAAATATGTTGCTCAATTACATTTTCAGTAATCTTTTATAATTAATTATTTATTACTATTTTTTGATTTTCATTCTAAAATTGAACCTTGAATTAAAATATTTTAAAATATTTGTAATTAACATAAATATTGTAACTAAGAAATATTTACTCCATGTTTTGCCTTATCATTAATAGTAAATTTTAAACAGGATTGAAATATAAATAGTTTAGACACTACTCTCTTTAGTTTTGATGTAAAACTTTATACTTTAGTAATGTTTTAGGGAAGATATTGAATCAAACCAATTAGGTAGTATGCCTGCAGAAAAATTACTTCATACATTGAAACCAGATTACTGGTTTGCAGCACATTTGCACTGTCAATTTGCAGCATTGGTCAAACATGAAGATAACAGCGAAACGAAATTTCTTGCTCTGGACAAATGTTTGCCAAAACGTAGACATTTACAAATATTAGATCTACCTCATGAGTATGATGGAGATAAATGCCTGAAACATGACGCAGAATGGTTAGTTGTGTTGAAGAATACAAATCATCTGCTGAATGTTAAAAACATGGAGGGTCATCTACCCGGACCGGGCGGAAATGAAAGGTTAGATAAAATTATTGACAAAATTACAAATTTTTAATAATGATGATGTGTTTATCTAAACTTAAAAATCGTCTTTTAGGTACAATTTTACACCAACCGATGAAGAAAAAGAAATTTTAATTCAGTCCTTGCAAAATTTAGCTATTACATCTGAAAATTTCGTCAAAACTGCACCTGCATACAAGCCGGGAGCTCCCAAAGCATATCTCACAGACCCTATACTAAATCCACAGACAGTAGATTTATGTGAGAAATTAGGTATTGATGATCCTGTACAAGTGATTATGGCACGAGCAGGCAGAGTCATGGAGAAACCAACTGATCTCGATATTGTTGAAACGAAAGCAGATCTCAATCCAGTACTAAAAACACCTATGTCAAAACTAATTTTACCGGCACCTGTGACACCTAGTGAAAATGATTGTGAAGAAAATACATGTACAACACCTATTTCAGAAAATCCCTTATTATTAGATAGTTTATGTAATACTTCTGAATGTACGACTCCTACTTCAATTAGTGGGAAGAAAACATTCAAGAGGCGAAATATATCAATTTATAGTTCCACAGAAGAAGAGAGTCAAAGTATGAACTCAAGTTCCTTAGTAAGTCCAACCAGTCCATCAAAATATCCTAGGGGTAATATTGAATAAATGTTAGTGCAAAATTTACAGATCTAGGATTTTATGAATGTCATAATGGCTCATTTTTATTTAATTTACCCCTAATAAACATGTTATTTGTGTGTAAAGATTATGTTACATATCACAATACAATTCTCTGTGCTTTGCAATAAAATGGTGCAATTTTTTATGCAATATCACTTTATTGTAAATCATAAATAAGATCTTATAAAAGTTGATGTTTTAATAAATGATCTTTTAATTCAGGCATGTTTTTTGGTTTGAATGAACATTGATTGCATTGCAGTGGAGTTTTCATTAGTGAAGTATGCAATTCTGAAGGAATCTTCCTTATGTTACCAATGTCTTTTAGTTCTTGAAGTAATTCTGAAAATATAAAAAATTAATTCATAAGAAATGTAAATGAAGTCTTATAATTCTCTGTTAAGATAATTCCAATTACTAAACAACACAATAACATTCTGTACTGCTCCAAGAAACTATATTTAGTAGAGATACACGACCCAAAAAAATATGTGAGATATTGTAAGCATGAATTGCAAACTCACCATCGTAGGGAATAAAAAACTTTGTACAGAAACTATTCCAATGTATTTTTGTTTTGAGGGATGTGGATATCATGTCTGTGCTAATAACATGCATGTGCATTCTCTGCATACTAGGTATTGCGTGAAAACCAGCTCTAAGTTCAGATTCATTTTCTTCCTTTAATTCTTTAAAAATGTTACCAAATTCTTCAAGTAAACTGATGTGTGATTTATTTAATTTGTAAATGCTATTGATTTCTTCATGAGGTAATACAAGGTAATGTACTTTAGCTTTTGGATACTTATCTTTTATAACAACAACTTTTTCTGTATTTTTTATAATTGATTTAGGGTCTTTCATCGATGCAATGAGTCCTAAAGACCAATGTTTTGGTGTTTTTGAAGGTATACTGGAAGTAGTATTTTTTCTCTTACTCATAATTGGTGTACTTTTACCAATATATGTATGAATGTAGAATTTCAACTATTACATAGTATTATTTTGATTTTCATGAAATACCTNTTGCTCGAAGCAAAGTGCAGCCCAGAACATAAGCAGCAAGATACACAGTCTTCCTCCACATTACAAGTATCTCCAGTGTGGCCCTGACCACACTTGAAGCACCTGGGCTTTGACCTACATTGGACCTTGGTGTGCCCAAAGCGGCAACAATTAAAGCACTGGATGGTTGGGTATATATACAATTTAACAGGCATAGAATTATAACACATAAATACACGTTTGGGCAAAACTTGTCCATCAAATGTAAACACGACTGTTTGCGAAGGTTTCCATGTGGGTGTGTTGTTTATCATGACTTTATAGTTTAGTCTTCTAATTTTCAGAATTTCCCCACACCCAATGGGTACATTAGTGTTCTGCATAATATCTTCAGGGGACCACTCAGTTGGGACTCCCCTAACTAAACCCATCCTCGTAATGTTAAAAGTTGGGATAAAAGCCTTCATGTTGTTTGTAGCTAAGCAGTTTGAAGTGACAAAGCTGTTAGCGTCTGTATAATTATTAAAAGAAAGTGTCATTTTATTTCGGCCAATACGTTTCAAACTTCCATTAACAATATTTTTGAAAAAATTTTTTTTTAAAAATCTGCCAAACACAACTGGGTGTAATGTTGTACCATCATCATCAGCAGACTGTATTTTCTGCACGTGTACCACAAACGGGCCGTGGTCATTGGCATCATAACTAGCCCTACCAATTTGTGTGGAGGCTTTATGAGACATATCAGTGGGAGGAACGGGCTTTGAAGATGTATCAGTGCAAGGACCAGGTGCAGGCAAATCAATAGTGCTCTCAGTAAATTCGTCTTTGCATTGACAGTCCGATTGTTTAAATGTTTCTGTATTATTTTTTCTTTTCCTTTTGTTACAATTTTTACAAATTTTGTGGAGCTGGTTACGCTTCAGCTTCCTTTTAGACACCAAAGAGCAGTCTGAATCCATTCCGGATTCGTTGGAGATTGTGACAAATGCAACCGCGGGGGGCGCTGTGCCCCCCGGATCCGGAGGCTCGTTCATATAAATATAAATAACTTACTCCAACTCGAAGAAAAAAAGAATAAAATACAAAAAAATTTAAATAATAATAAAAATTACAAATATATACAAGTTTTAACTATTCTGATCACTTAATAGATTAAAAAAAATATTTTTCAACAAATTCAAACAAAAACCGCGCCCGCCAAATTCAAAGGTTTCCCGCGTTTTTTTCATGAAATACCTAACAGTTATGTTATGTTGGTATATATTTTTTTTAAGGGATTTTATGACCTGGTAACTGAAACTTTTAATTCATGTCTTATTTTAATTTCTATTCATATTTTTATGAAAAATGATATTATGGAGTGAAATGAAATGAAGACGATTAATTTGAGACATTAATCAACTGGGATGAAATGAAATGAGATGATATGGGATGAAATATAATCTCAGTAAAATGGTGGTAATTTACTAAGATTTTTTCAGTGGACTTTTTGGAGGATCCCGAGAAGTTACGTCCAGCGGCTTTGTTTTATTTTTCCACATTTGTGCACTTTCACAGATATTAAACAGTTAATAAACCACCGTTATTACACATTTAAACCCGAAGAAACACTAAATAGACAAAATAAAACAAATCACACAACTTCACTCCTCGCGTTCCCGCCAAGAAGTCCCCTATGTTGGTACGGTACGGTACATAGATTATACACATAATTTGGTACGGTATCTTTATTTTCTGAAACTGACGTTGCTAATGTCAAAATTTGCTTATACTTGATTCGTCTATTAAATGGACAAAAGAAACTATTTCATACAGTCAAACCTCATACAAAAAAGGAATGTAGTTAAATAGGACTAGGTAAAAAAGAATTTACTAGATATGAGGCCTATAAAATCAAAGGCAGCTAAACGCCATAATGTCCTAAAATGTATTAACAATGGCTCTAATCTTGTTTAGTTAGTTGAACATGCTTTAGTGTTTTCATGTGTTAACAAATGCAGCTAAATCTTTATCAAATTGAGTTCAAAAAAGTTAAGTTTACTCTGTATTAAGTATTAATAAACGAAGTTTTATCATTTAAATTTCAGATTATTAGTAATATTCTCATTCTTTATATATCTGTTTTAAAATAAAGAATATCGTAGCTATACGAACAAAGTTATTTCAGATTCTCAAACCGGGAGTGTTGCTAACACTGGCCCTAGCAAGAGCAGTACTTCTATGGATTTGGAGGATCCGTAATGACGTGTGTAGGGCCGATTTTTGTAGTTAACCTGAATATTTGACAGACATGGATATAGCTGCCTTTGATTTTATAGGCCTCATTGATTATTTGGAAGAACCCGAGAGCCACGTTCAGTGATATTGCTAAAATCCAGGGACTAAAATAGCGCTACTGTGGCAAAATTCCTTCCAGATTATACAGATTAGAGATTTATACATACATATTTATGGTAAATGCTAATTAAATATTTTCTTCCGTTTTCACGAGTTTTATGGCTCCTCTTCACAATCGGCCATGATGGGCGATTATAGAAACTCACGATAGTGTAGAGGGCATAAATGTGTGTGATCGGCCATCATCGCGCAAGATCGTGCGCAATCGGCGTTGTGTCGGTAGATCAAAGGAACGATGGCCCATGATTGTGTGAGCGTCCACACCATCGCCGATTAGTCAAAATGTAGTTGTCTCGAGTGTGTATGGTTGCGTGGACCTTGTTTTGTTCTGATTGATAGCCACCATCCACCACCTTCTCTTCCTCCATCTTGTTTATCGTTATCGGTAAGCAGTGGCTTGGCTATGTTCCTAGCATAGCTGAAGTCCATGGGTGACAGTAACCACTCACCATCAGGTCTGGGCCGTATGCTCGTTTGTCTACAAAGGCAATAAAAAAAAAGTTTTCACGATTTCTTTTTCGCGCACATTAACTAAATGACTATATGAACTAACTAAAAATATTGCCGCAGCCGTGATCTCCTCGATTTCCATCATCGATACCTAGACGTCTTAACATATCAGTAGACAGTCAGTAAATGAACGTTCACGATTGTGTGGAGAGTTGCCCGATCATGGCGGCGATGATGGACGATCATTTGTTGGCCCATCATGGCCAATTGTGAAGAGGAGCCATTAGAAATAATTAAAATTACTTTTACGACTCAGTTCACCACTTGGCACAATATTTAAATGCCTGTGACTAAACGGTAAACGAAACTGGTAGGTAAGTATTTTAAATATCGGAAATATTATAATGACAATAAAAAAGGAGAGATAATGCCCTAAACATTATTTTTGATTAATATTAAATTAGATAATTTATTGAAGTGAAACTTCTTTAGGCGCGTTGAGAGTAAACTTTAACTCGCGAAAGATTAGGGCTAGAGAGAAGATACAATTTAGAGTGAGAGTTAGAAAATAGCGTCTCGCGAACCACTCGACCGGAGAGAGGGAAAGGACAAAGCGAGCTCGGTTGTTATTTTTTTATTAATAATATTACATATCTATCCAACCTTACATGCCTCAAATGTTTGAACATTTATAAAAAACTCGAAGTTTTTCTTTCAATTTGACTTCCCCTATATTTCGGATAGTCATTACGTACTATGGTCAGGGCCATAGATAATATACGTATTAAATTAAAAGAAATGGGGCTGCCATTACAGCGGACAGTGGTGTGTAATATCTCACAGCTTAATTCAATTTTTTTCAAACATTAAAACATTAAAAATGTTGTATAATTTATTAGGATTTTATTTAATTCCCCGAAAACAAATAAATTATTTTAATAATAGCCTGCTATTTCTTATAATCCTCGACAGTCATGACTGAAAAAGTATTGGAGTTGCTTAAAGCTCAAACAAAACTGCAATTTTATTTTTCAGTCATAAGTTACAACTTAAAACATTTAGTTCTTCTAAAATTATAATCTAGTTCACTTATTTAATTATTTCTAAGTAGATTAATTTAAATAAANGAAAACAAATAAATTATTTTAATAATAGCCTGCTATTTCTTATAATCCTCGACAGTCATGACTGAAAAAGTATTGGAGTTGCTTAAAGCTCAAACAAAACTGCAATTTTATTTTTCAGTCATAAGTTACAACTTAAAACATTTAGTTCTTCTAAAATTATAATCTAGTTCACTTATTTAATTATTTCTAAGTAGATTAATTTAAATAAATTAATATTAGCTAAATACCTTGTAAATCTTATGGACTTAAATAACATTAAATTCGTGAGCTTTTGCTATAATACCTATATTTAAGCAGACAAATGTAGAACGAACAATCAATTTCAGTGTCTTTTCGAATTAGTTGATAATTAATCCAAAGAGTATATTAAAAAAAGTCAACGTGTAAATTAGGCAAATTAATAATAATAGTCATGTTTTTTTTTCTTTTAACTTTTGCTCATCATAAAATAGTATCTGTTATAATTTCGTAATAAAATAGGTATTATATTTTAATTAATTAATTAAATTAATTATCACTATTGTACAGTAGGCCGTCCTGTATAACCCGTATCCGGTAAGGAATGGTGTGCCAGCTCCCTTAAAATCTGTTCAAATCCTTTACCGGTTGGCGATTGAAGGTTGTTGTTCTTCAATAAAGTAGAATTCAATTTTGTGGCTAAGTAACACATCTGTAAAATATAAAAATAAAATTTTCTACTTTATCCCATTAAATATGCCCATAACCTATTAGCGTTTAAAATCGTTTTATTTGAGTAACTGTCATCGACCTCTGTGTCGTATACTATTTTTGTAATTGTTAGTATAATTGTTTTCACTGATAACTTCAACGAAAACAAATGTCGTGTGTTGTAATAAAATAATCACAAATATAAAATTTTATGAATTTGTGTAATTATTGATCGTAAAGCGTATTAAGTTCTCTTTGGTTAATACCTATAACTATAATTAGTTACATTGTCCAAGGATTCCGGTAGCCGCAAAACACTTAGGAGAAAGTCTGGGTAGTTTAAAAAAAAATGTCTATTAGAGTACGGTTACAACTATGATGATAAATAATTTCTTGCCGCGAATAACTTACTAGTAATGCAGACATGAAGAGCAGTGCACCGAGTGCTACGGCGACCATCATCGAAGTGGCACAGGTGGCTTCAACAGGGGTCCTATGAAAGAGTTCTCCGGGCATGACCACTGTGTATTCTAGATTCTCCTTGAATCTCGTGAAGGGCGTTGTCGAGTTGTCGTTGACTAGCGCTGCGTGTGTAGCGTTATGCGTTTCCGGCAGTGACCTTCTTTTTCTTCCGTGGCCTGAAAGGAGGTATTAGTTTTTTTAATAATAATAATCAGACGATCTCATGGTTGATGCAAGGATAATCTGGTATCGAAGCCCACAAATGAAATTACAGCGTTGAATTTTAAAGTGATTATTACAATTTTGCATTCAATGGTTCGATGAAATGCAAATTTCAAAGGCGTTCCCTGTGCCAAAACGAGAATGAATTAAAAGCAAACACGAAACGAAAAAAAGTTGTAACTAAAAAAACATCCAGTAAATTATGCAGAAATTCTTGTTGTGTTTTCATGTTCATATTTCGCGCAATATTACGGCATGGCAACTAGCAGTCGCTTCCCACATTCCCTCACCGCCGAAATTCATATGCGCCGGTAAAAAATACAATTTCGTATGTGATCGTTAGCGGTTTATTTTATAACATCTTTACATTATTGGCATACTTCTCCGAACGGTAAATCTTATTAAATTCATTAGTCGGAATGACATTAGGTATGTTCTAAAGATAGTAAGTAATTTGCATATAAGTGCATTATCTAAATGTTAGCTAGAGTTGGTATCACTATTTTGTTTGATTGACATTTTAAATATTCATAATTAAGTGTCTATGTTGCTTTCTTCTTTTTGTGTGATTTATGTATTTATAATGTATTTTATACGTGCTCTTCATAAGGTACCTTCTAGGAAATATTTCAATGATATTTTTGATAGTCCCAACCTTTACCCATTACTTATCCAAATATAACCGTTTACTGTCTATGTTTATGGTTAGAAAAAAATGTTAAATAAATAATGGCAGTGTTGCCGCAATCACTCATAAAAAACCTTCTAAGTTAGGTAAATTTACTATTCAAGTTTATTATTAACAAACTGGAAATTTGGTAGGGGTCCACGAATTTGTTATGATTATTTAATACTAGTAGCTCATTAAAGAAAATACCGTGTACGAAACCTGATGGTTCAAATAGGTCGAGGCAATAGTCTGGTTGGCAGTCTGCGGCGTCCATGCAGGCTTTTATCTGCGAGTGTATCCATAACGTTGAGCGCTCCTTCATAGAAGCCAGCAGGAAAGCTTCAAAGTCCAAGAATACTTCATTATGTCGCTCCCGGTAGCGCGCTGGTTGATGCGGGATTATCGAAGCGAAATCCCGATTGCGGCATCTATTACGCGAATAACAACAAATATGTTTCGTATACATTGGCATAGATTTTAAATTAATAAAAAACGTCATCAGACATATGAAACATTTTGAGATTGCATATTCGATAATCGTGTTTTAAAATAGTTTGAGGTGCATTTAAAAAAACCATGGCTGTCAGCGTTGGTAGCCACAAATAAAGTACGAGGATATCAAAAACGTAACGGAGTCATAATTTTATTAAGCCGTTTAATAGCTGTTTCTGTCAAGAAAAAACGGAAGGCAATGACAATGTTGCCTTACAAAAATCGACCTTCCGCCATTTGTCTGAGGGCGATGTTCCCGTTGTGATGTCCATGGGCTTCAGTGACCTCATTAACAATAGGCAGACAAACTATCTATTGTTAAATGTGGAATATTGAATATTACGGATGTTTAATGTATTAGCAAACACACCGTGAGCTTTAAACGAATTTCTACTAAAAACTCTAATCTTGAACTGACTTTGTTATTGCTGTTTTGATTTGTGGGAATGGTTCGGTTTTTTTATCATGTCAATGGCACGTACCCGTCTTTAACGAGCAAAACGGATCCGGGTGCGTGAGGTCTGTCAGGGTCAGGAGACACGGCCACCTCCAGCAGTTTGATGTGCCGCCACGCTGAGTCGGGATTAATCCGTGCGCGTAGTTGAAGCTTCGTGCCGATTGGAACAGCCTGTTTTTTTTTGGTAGTAAAAAAATGTATTTGCAATGAACTAATTAAAAAATCAGCACAAACAAAATTCACAATTCCTAATACTAGGCCACATGCTTTAAATGTAGGAAATCCTAAAAGCGAAAACGTTGAAGGTTAAGTTATTGAAAAGCAAACTTTGTAAATCACAGGGTTGCAAGCTATAAAATAATTGCGGAATTTATATTAATTAAAAAAAATCATTGATGTAGCATATCAAATCCGCCGGAGCATGCATCTAGACATTCAGGCTGCACCACAAAGCCCTAAGCGGTTGAATTATATTTGAAAGTGTAACATACACCCGTTACCTGATCGACAGGCAAGTCAACCGAATGATTAGAATGTCTTGTGACAGGCGGTGCTTCCTTGTACAGAGCTACTTCGTATTCAAGACGTCCTGGCGTCTCCTCGACCACGCCGGACACACGGGCACCGTGGGGACTGAAAGCATGTCAAGGTTCTTCATTATTGTATTCCAATATCTCAGGATGACTACACATAAAATTGATTCGTAACTTTGGAATAATTTAAAAAAAATATCATAATTTTGATGTTTCCAACTTCAAAATCCCAAGTTGGATACATCACAATTTCAAATTTCGATATCGTATTTTTGTATTGAGACCAGTCGCGGATTTAAACATTGTCGCCAGTTGGCTGTTTGAATTGTGTCACCACAACACACTTCTACAATTCGGTAACCTAGTCCATAATCGTATTAGTGACAGTTTTATTCTTCAATCAAATTGTAACTTTATGGTTTGTACATATTATACGTTGAATTGGTTGTGTGGACCTAAAAGTTTCTAGGTTTATAAATATGAAGAAATTTCGGCTCCGAATTTGCTTCCCTACAAATCCGCTACAACTTGAGACATGAAGGCAATATCGTATTTGTATTGCATAAAGGCTTTTCCAGTAGGGTTTAATACATCTAGTGTCATTTCAGTGTGTTAGAGACGTGCTTACTAATATTATTTTTAGTTGGCTTCAATGAAAGGAGTTTATTAATTCGACTGATTTTTCTATGTGTCAACCTCAGAACTTTTTTCTATTTGATCCGTGTGCCTATTTTATCTAAAGCTATTAGACCTGATTAGTAGGTTTTGATCTATGCTTAACAATGTATATTTACTACACTTCTACTACATTGATAATATTATTAGTTATTTTGTTTTTTTGAAGTTGATATAATTTTTGTGAACTACATATTTGTATTAATTTAAATTTAGGAAATTTCGAGAAATAAAAAAGGTCGAATATATTTTATTGTCATGATTAAATGTTTCATTGAACTAGTGGTCCCGCAGTAGCTGAAATTCGACTATAATTAATTGGAATTGTAAGTTTGTACACTATAATGATTGTATTTTATACATCTATAATCACAAATTTCGCCAAGGCTACGCTATAAAAAAATATTAATAAAGACAAACAATATTTATTCTATTCTCAATTTGACCACGGACGTCAAGAACAAAAGTTTGACAATAAATAGTATGCATGCGTGTGTGCGTCGAATACATGGTATGTAGTGTGTGTAATGTTTTCTTTATTGATTTCATGTATCTTTTATGCATTATTTTACAAAAATATTAGCATTTTGCACTTCTTCTCTATATTCTCTATAAGTGTGGAAAATTTCATACTCCTCTGTCCGCGCAATTTTCGTAAAAAGGGATACAAAGTTTTTGGTTCACGTATTAATATATAGATACTCACAAACTTCCAGCAAAGCCTGCAGCTTTATTTTCAATAATTGTTGGCTCAGGGGGCTTGCACATGATGATCAACTCTTGATCGGACTGCATCACCACTCCGGGGAACTGCGGGAACCATACCCGGACGTGCACGAAGCCCTGGCAGATATAATAACGACTTAGACATCAAAAATATTATTGTGGAAAATGCTTGAAAGTATGTAACGGCTTTGCTTTGCCCCTGGGATTACTGAGGTTCATGAGTGACGGTCAACATTTACCATGAGGGAGACGATATGCTCGTCTGCTTACAAGGACAATAACAAAACGCAGCAATATAATACTTATGAAGAGTTCTTTCAGAAAATAAATTACCTATTTTCAAAAATACCTATACCGAACGATTTTGTTTGTTAGTTAAAATACGTTGTTGCTTATTAAGCTATAAACCAATTTACCGGGTAATAAATACATAGTCAATTGAAACTACTGGGATTTGCAGCTAAGAGCAAGGGGATTTACTAATAGCCTACACACTGAATAAATACAATTAGATTCGACACAATGTACCGAGCACCAGTAACGACAAATGCCATCGGTGTCGTGTGTGTCCTGTATTTCTTCTAACAAATCCATCGTTAACATAGCTGACGTCTACAGCTGAAGAGCGGAAACCTCTAATCTTCATTAAAATAAACCAACATGCCGATTCAGTTTTTTGTTTAGTTTTTTTACTAGATGATGACCGAGCTTTCCTCGTTTTTTTTTTGATAACGCCATCTTGTTGTGTCTTTAAAGCGGTTAGTTGCCCTCAATTAAGAAAAATAGTATTATTATTCGCCAATAGATGTCAGGAAGAGCTGATTATTGAAAACACGAATAAAACAACATTTTCTGAAAATTCAATCGTAGCTTGATCGATTTATCGCCCCCGAAATTCCCTGTACCTATACTAAATTTTATGAAAATCGTTGGAGCCGTTTCCGAGATTCAGATTATATATATATGTATACAAGGATTGCTCGTTTAAAGGTATAAGATTGAATAGTTGTTGGGTGGATGAGCTCACAGCCGATCTGGTGTTAAATGGTCACCGGAGCCCATAGACATCTACAACGTAAATGCCGCCACCCACCTTGAAATATGAGTTCTAAGGCCTCAGTATAGTAACAACGGCTGCCCTACCCTTCAAACCGAAATGCATAATGATTCACGGCAGAAATAGGCAGGACGGTGGTAACTACCCGTGCGGACTTACAAGAGGTTCTACTACCAGTCAGGTGGATTAAGAAGATAACGAAAAGCTCACGATTTACAGAATACACTTTGCTATTTGACTTCTTTTTTTTTTATTGCTCTGGTGGGTGGACGACCTCACAGTCCACCTAGTGTTAAGTGGTTACTGGAGCCCATGGGCATCTACAACGTAAATGCGCCACCCACCTTGAGATATAAGTTCTAAGATCTCAGTATAGTTACGACGGCTGCTCCACCCTTCAAACCGAAACGCATTACTGCTTCACGGCAGAAATAGGTAGGGTGGTGGTACCTACCCGCGCGGACTCACAAGAGGTCCTACCACCAGTAATACATAATTAATAGCTCTCGAAGATTTAACTCAATATCCTTATAGGTGGTAGGAAGTATTGTAAGACCGCAAGGGTAGGTTACTGCCTGCCTGATTTGGCCGCGAAGAAGTCATGCATCCGCTTTGAAGATACGTTAGTTCTTTTAAACTACAATCGAGAGAGACTTCGACCTGCTAAATAGTCTCAACCATCTCAATATATATAATTAAGTTAATATCATATTTAATATTCCTATTAATCGGTATTGTCTTTCTTAACTGTGTGTCAAATATGTATTTGTATCACTCTTACCATTAATTTCTAATTACGATCTAGTTTTCCTGTGGTGACCTCATCACGTAGTATTGTTCCTAACGTTAATTATATTTGCATCTTCCTTAATGACATTTCTATTTCGTAGATAATAATAAGTTATTTTTGTATTCTTTGTTTGAATATTTGTATAAAATAGTTTCTTAGAGATATTTTGTCGGTTAATGTCATTCACATAGTTCAAAGCTATTAGTCATATTGTAGTTCTGTTTTGAATATTATATTATGTATTCTGTTCTGAAGTCATCGTGGCCGAAAGGATAAGACGTCCGGTGCATTCGTGTTGAGCGATGCACCGGTGTTCGAATCTCAGGCGGGTACCAATTTTTCTAATGAAATACGTACTCAACAAATGTTCACGATCGACTTCCACGATGAAGGAATAACATCGTGTAATAGAAATGAAACCCGCAAAATTATAATTTGCGTAATTACTGGTGGTAGGACCTCTTGAGAGTCCACGCGGGTGGGTACCACCACCCTGCCCATTTCTACCGTGAAGCAGTAATGCGTTTAGGTTTGAAGGGTGGGGTAGCCGTTGTAACTACACTGAGAACTTAGAACTTATATCCTAAGGTGGTTGGCGCATTTACGTTGTAGATGTCTATGGGCTCCAGTAACCACTTAACATCAAGTGGGCTGTGAGATCGTCCACCCACCTAAGCAACAAAAAAAAAATTCAGTATAGTAATAAATATCTTTTTTTTTTTTTTTTAAACAGTAGCATTAAAAAATAAAAATAATAAGAAGTATTTGAATGAAAAACCGCGGTACCAAATTGATGTGTAAGTACGGTTACGTAACACACATACCTAAATGTCAAATGAAGTGTACATCAGTGTTGACATCAATATTTGTGTGTTTACGTGAATACTATACCGGCCGCGGGCAGTTGTCGGTAAATAATACTTAAGTATGACTATCTTCGTCGACAGTACACCTTACATTTCGTACGGTTGGTAACGGCACTGGTTATTATACGACAATGACACGGGCATCAGTAAAGTCCGTTTATGATTTTACATATTATAGATGAAACAACGGAAATCTCTCGGCGTTTTCATTTATTTATTTATTCAACGCTACGTATGTACAGAGAGTGACTAGCATCATGTCCGCCACTGCCGCATTCTATATAAGTCCACCAATTGTTTTGTTGTTAATTATTACAGAAAGATAAAAATTTACAGTTTTTTTATTGCCTTTGTAGGCAGACGAGCATACGGCCCATATGATGGTGAGTGGTTACCGTCGCCCATGGACTTCAACAATGCCAGGGGCAGAGCCAAGCCGCTGCCTACCGCTTAGTACTCTCTACAAGCCTCGTTTGAAGAAAGACGTGTAAAGTTTGTTGTTGTTTGTTTGTTGACGTGTTTGATGATGATATCAATAATGCAAAACATATTTTTCTAATGTTATAAAATAATTTATAATTTGCATAAAACCAAAACACACATTTTTAACATTAAGTTAGATAGGCAGGGGCAGTGGTTTGGTTATGTTCCAGGGATTGCTGAATGTCTATGAACGACGGTAACCACTCACCGTCAGTTGGATCATGTGCTCTTCTGCCACGGCAACAAAACATTGTTTAGTGTTAAGTGATCAAGTTAATGAGAACAGCAAGTAATTTATTTAATACTAGCGGCCCGCCCCGGCTTCGCTTGGGAAGTAGCGTACGCGATGTAAAGAATTTTACGTAATTTTTGTACACATTGGATTACATTATTGGAGTTTCAGTAAGGATCCCAATTTTTTTTGAAAATATAATAGAAATAGCCTATGTCACGCGGGGATAGTGTAGCTTGCCAACAGTGAAAGAACATTTTAAATCGGTTCAGAAGTTTCGGAGCAAATTCAATACATATAAACAAACACATCTTTTATCGTTATAATATTGGTATAGATTTTTAGATTAACTTCGTTTAAATTAAATATTGTTATTTTAATATATACTTAATTACCAAAATACAGTACTGTTCAATATTATATAATAAAATTTTAATATCAGTGTATTATAAGTCTTTATGTATGTGTTTGAAATGTTTGAAAACGTTAGTATATCACATTAAAATAAACAAAACACATTATAAACACAACAAGCCAAGAGAATTTTTTGTACTTTCCACAAATGTGGTTCAAATTCCAGATGGTGGTAGGATCTCTTGTGACCGCTCTGACTATTTCTGCCGTGAAGCTGTAATGCGTTTCGGTTTGAAGGGTGGGGCAGCCGTTGTAACTATACTGAGATTTTAGAACTTATATCTCAAGGTGGGTGGCGCATTTACGTTGTAGATGTCCATGGGCTCCAGTAACCACTTAACACCATGTGGGCTGTGAGCTCGTCCAACCATCGAAGCATTAAAAAAAAAAAATTACGAGCAGCAATTCATTTATATATATATTTTTAGATTAACTTCTTTTAAACTAAATATTGTTATTTTAATATATATTTAATTACCAAAATACAGTACTGTTCAATATTATAAAGTAAAATTTTAATATCAGTGTATTATTTAAAGTCTTTGTATGTGCTTGAAATGTTTGTAAACCTTTCTATACTAATATATAAATAAATCTACAGTGGTTTTTACGGATGTTCCGTTATAACTACTGAACCATGCATCCGATTGACTTGAAACTTGGTATCCATGTAGAAAATACATGTACTTAATGGATAGGCTAATATTTATATGAGTGTTGGACTCCCTACACCAGTTGCGAGGGCGTTTATGATGAGAATCTTTGTGGGGGTGAGAAATAATAATGTTAATTTTAAATGCCCAGCGAAGCGAACGGGCTACAGCTAGTGTCACATAAAAATAAACAAAATGCATTATAAACACAACAAGTCAAGATATTTTTTTGTACTTTCCACAAATAGAAACATTATTTTATGAAAACTTACGTTTCGTTTTAAAACGCCGCACCGTGAGAAATCGGTGATTTTGAGCCGATATAACAGGCCCGTCGCATCTTCCGCCTCTGGTCGGATCTGACAGACGGGGTCTGCGACCGGGTCAGTCGCGCGGTCGTCCGCAAACAAGGGCGCGCCTCTGAAGCCCTCCGGCTTTCTCAGGAGGGCACTCACGGAGTCACGAAGCCCGGAGCCTCCCGTCGAAAATGTACACTGTATGTCTGTTACTGTGAAGCGTAAGAGAAAAAATAAGAAGATCTGTATCAAAATCGACGTTTGTTACTATAGAATAATAGTTTTTCATAGTTACATTTAACACATGTTTCTGAACGGCTTATTTTTTTATAGAAACTTGTTAAACCTGGCCACGTTTCGTAATTTCAGAACTTTTCGCACCCCACGGTCAGTTGTTCCACAAGCAATGTGTTCTACCCATTCTCACTTCAACCTTCACCAATCCATTGCGCTATGTTGGTTACTATAATTACCTGCGAAGCCTTAGTTTCTAATTCGATCGCTAAGGAAAACTCTAAGCATAGCTCTTTGGGCGACTTTCAGCCCTGTAATAAGACCCATTGTGATGGATTCGGGAACTAATAACTACCAGCTGGGCCTCTTGATAGTCTACTCTACATCAGCTATGCTGCTGTCTCACTGATGCATGTTCCAAGAAGAATGCTGAGAGTCATTAACCTAGAACTTATCGAAGAGCTCAACGTATAATTTAACTTAAAGACAGCCCATTGAGCTTCTTGCCGAATCTTTTCAATGGGTCGTGATTCCGATCCCGTGGTAACATTGTTCTTGCTAGGGCTAGGGCAAGTCTCTCAAGCTGAGCTCCGTGAGTTCACCTATCAGTTCGGTTAAAACAGAATATCCCGTAGAGGATACTGGTAATAAGGTAGAAATAAAAAAGCTGCGAGTGTAGGTATTTCTCATCTACAACAATAAAAGTCTACAGAAAAGTACTTTATTAACCACAAATAGCAATTTGTAAGTACGATAGACACATACCAACGTCACAATGGCAGAAGATTAAATTAACATAATAAGCTGAGTCACGTCTGGTTAACTAAGTAGCAAATTAATTAGTAACACTAAACGGTACCAATTAGAGAATACTAACGGGAAACACGACTGGGTAAAAGATCTCCGATCAAACGGTTAGATTGCAAGAACAATAATGTGGCCCAGTTTTCGTTGCGTATTAAAAAAAAAAAACACCGAGCTGACCCGCAAAACAAACAGTTTAATTCGAACAAACCAAGAAGGCTTGGGAATAAAATTTAATGTTCGTATGAAAGCCTTATTCCAATTTTGCACGGTACTTCGATTCATTTGAGCTTGTTTATTCAAAAACGTAAACAACTGGTATAACAGACAGGGTAATACTCCGCTTTCACTATCGCTGATTGCAAGTAATGCATTGCCCCGTTGTTAATGACAGTACTGCTAAAATTCATAGAATTTGACCCGTTAAGTAAGGACGGTATCTGAAGACAACGTCAGATGTTTCTTCGAAAAAGTGATACGGCACGATAACCTCATGCCCATCTCGAACTACGATTTCGACCCAGGACACGGGTCAACGCATAGCCGCCGCCATCAGCACACCTATGGGATCCTCCTGATCCACTCTCAGTGCTTTTAGGACACCATACACCGGTCACGTTTATGCGGTAGTTTTATCACATTCGGCCGAATTGCTTAGGAACGCATAGGGGACAAACATACAAAGATACATTCATTTTATAAACATAGAAGATTTTTATGGCTTGGAAGTTGAGAGAGAGACAAATGACGTCAGTGATTATTATCTTACTTATCATAAAAATATTCGGGTCTATACGCACATACAGTACGGTGTGGTAAATTGTCTGTTAAATACATATTTTGTAAGTTTTGTTTTCCCATTCGTAATCATACAGAGGAAGGTAATTTTATTTCTTCATAGATGATAATCATTTGACATTACAACACCGTTAATATACAAGTTACATTACTTTTTTGTAGATTAAATACACACTAAGTATCGAATTAAATAAAAGAAAGAACTTACCATCGTAATCTTGACCGAGCGATGTCTGAGTCTGCAACAGTAAAGTTTGATTCAGTCGAATGAAAACAATCAGGTAATTAATTAAAACGTAAATTACAATGTAATACAGTATTGTGTAAGTAGTTCAATGGTCTCTTTAGCTGTTTATGTTTGACTCGTTACTGGAAAGAATATTGGCAACAGATTAAATACAAATCATTATTCCTATTGAACCAATACCAAATCAATACCAAAGTAATTGCTTGTTGGTTATGTTTACACGCCCAAAACAAAATTATTGATTTTGATGAATTTCTTATGAAGTTTGTTGGAGCCTTTGAAAATAAAATAGGTTTACTTTCATCTCATAAATAAGCACGGGTCTCCGCTTCCGTGTATGAGGTATAGTCCATACGGGCGAAGCTGAGGGCACAAAGCTAATTAGACATGTAGCGTCTAGTTTGAAAGACCTGCGTTCATTATTTACGGTAAGAGAAAAATCATGTTGCTTCAAACAATACCGAATAACAAGCTAAAAGGTTTATCGTGTTTAATGAAAAACCAACAATAGCTGAGTAAATTAGTCCAAAGCGGCGAATGTCTACTAATTTGTCTACTTAAACGTAAATTATATACCTCCATAATATATTAAGTATTCGTTAAGAAAACATTAACCAAAAAAATGTTGCAGATTATACTTTCAAATTATACTACTACATAATCACTTATAACGTGATGTCGTAGTAGGTACATAATTTATTACGTAGATAATTTCTTAGTACTGTAGGTAAATTTTAGTATCAAAGTAATTAGACTAATTTGGCTGGTATTCAAATAAGTAAATTTAAAGCTATGATAAGCTATAAGTAAGTAGAATAGTACGAAACGCGGGTACGTTGGAGCGGGAAAGCAAATAGAGTGCATCAAAAGAGAGAATACTCAGAATTGGGTGAACACGGGTTGAAGAAGACAGATAGTGAGGAATGTTCTAATTGGTCTCGGTCATAATTCTGCCAAATCCTATCAGAAGAAAGTCACGTGTTGCCGTTTAATCTAGTTAATCTGAAGCTTATAAGACTACTAGTGACCCGCCCTCGCTTCGCTTCGGAAACTGTAATTTATTATTGATTTCTCCACTATTTGATGGATGTTATTATACATATAAACCTTCCTCTTCAATCACTCTATCTATTAAAAAAAACCGCATGAAAATCCGTTGCGTAGTTTTAAAGATTTAAGCATACATAGGGATATAGGGACAGAGAAAGCGACTTTGTTTTATACTGTGTAGTGATTATCACATGTGAATGTTTGTACATATGTTTGGATAACAGGACAAAGGGAAGATTTTTCACCATGAAATTCGGTAAATCTCGGTAGGCCGACGACATACGACAGTTCAAATTTTACTTTACCGGAATTGTCGTTACTGCGATTCAGGCATTTGTCAAATATCTTCTGTTCTGTAATGGCCATCGCTAGACATATATATTAAGCACGCAAAAATAGCTGAATTAATGAAATTTCTCACAAAGATTATTAGAGCCTGGATTAACACATAAGATACGTTTTATCATGGTATTTGACAAACTTCGGCAGCACCGAGTACGTCTATAATAAATACGACATCGTGTTCGCTGGGCTATGATTTTATGTACCCTCGGTAATAAATCGGTAAATATATCGAATCGAAAATTACTATACCTAAATATAAAAATAAATCGGTAATAAACGGTAGTAAACCGTCTGGTAATTTGTGATGCACATAGCGGCACATGTAAATCTTTTACCTGGAAAATGCAATGTTATACTTTGCCGCAGCTGAGACCGTTATTCAGAATAAAAAATATCCGTGTTACTCACACGTATATTAAATTATTAATTAAGAAAAATAAACTCATAAGACTAAAAATAAATGTTCTATAATTAAAGAAAAAAATATATTAATGAGTGAAATTTTATAAAAAGGCATTGGCTTCTAATAGTACTTATGATTTTATTATATTAATCATAATGCATAACAGTAATGAGAAAGTAGTTTAATTAATCAATAATCAAAAGGCCATGCTCAAGAAAACGGTTGGAAACAAAAAAAAATGCACCAAAACAATAACATCGGAATGATTTTTTTTAAAACAAATCTAGAAAGGGTTTAACGAACATTTGTATAACTCACTACTCTAGAATTGGTTTTAGGTGAAAAGAAAAGTTGATGTTTAATCAACGAAATCTCGACGATTTGCGGTTTGAAAAATAAAAAGTTCCACGCCACTAATTCGAGTCGCGGACGTGAGCTCTCCGTAATACTGACGAACGAAAGTAGCACGGTTCTTCTATACTACAAAATCGACACAAATCTGGTCTTTTAACGAATCACCCGTGATTATTGAACGAGCAATTTGGAAGATTACTAAAAAATTTCGGAAATCGCTTTGGAAAACGTAAAATTACGCGTTTGGTTACCAACCAAGGATTTAAGGATTAGAATTATTGGTCATAGCGGTGATTCATATCTAGACAAATTTGGTTGGCTAATTCAAACTCTACTAAGCTGATGGTTGTGCATCGTGCTTGACTACGCTTTTGCGACAAATTTCAAGATCTTTTTATCCAGAAAATAATCAAATGTTATAGTTTAAAGTGTAGAACATTAGTGGACACTTCTTTGAAAGAGCAACGCGACACGATAAGTCCCTAATCGTAGTCGCCTTTAATTACATATTTCAGCCGACTCAGCAAAGCCGCAGTCGCCCTAATCATGTCCTATTGGATGCTCCCGATCCATTCTCGGGCTTTTAAGCTCTCCAAGCACCGGTCACCGTTCTCATCAAACTCGCGAATGCGACTAACAGCTTGTCGTGCGACCTAATCCATAGACACAAGCTACTGATATTTCGCCGGATCTTTTCAGTGGGTCGCGATTCTGATCCGATAGTAGATCCAGGTGAAAGCCCTAACTAAAACTCCATTTAACGAGTGCGTGCGCCAAGCCTCAGTTCGCAAACCTTGGAAAACATTTGTCAAGGCTTTAATAATCAAGAATTCCACATGAACACGACTGCTCTGCCAAGAGTGACCGACTATGATGATGAGTAGATGCATTCGCGAAGCAGCAGCTTTTGAGTTATTAGGAGTTCTTTATGGACGCTCGGACAACTGTTGGCAAATCCCACCGCTCTCGGCTGAGTTCTAGCTCACCCACGTGACACTGAAAATACCTCCAGGCCACCAGTAATCCCTCTCTCCCAAATAAAAAGCAGTCAATAGCCAACTACAAAATGAATTTGCATTTTGTTTTAATAATAGCTTATTTGGTTGCTAACAGGAGGATTATACTCCACATATTTGGGCCTATTTAATTTAATAAACATGATAATTAACTAAAATTTGTATCTGCAGATGTAATTGTTAAAATACTACCATATTTCACTGTAGGTGATGCTAAATGAAGTACATTCATGCGTACTTTGATCGCACATATCATATGACAGAAATATCCCATTAGGTTTCCTTTTAAAATGTACTAAATGGATATACGACTTAAATTTTGGACCAATTAAGATCAATGCATTATGTGGCTATCGGAGCCGAGAGACGTTAAACGAGAATTCCGCCACCGACCTTGACACTTGAGGCTGAAGTCTCAATTGTCTTGTACAAGTGTACTTGTGTTAGAAGTCGTCGTGGCCTACCGGATAAGACGTTCAGTGCATTCGTGTTGAGCGATGCACCGGTGTTCGAATCTCAGGCGGGTACCAATTTTTCTAATGAAATACGTACTCAACAAATGTTCACGATTGATTTCCACGGTGAAGGAATAACATCGTGTCATAAAAATGAAACCCGCAAAATTATAATTTGCGTAATTACTGGTGGTAGGACCTCTTGAGAGACCACGCGGGTGGGTACCACCACCCTGCCTATTTTTGCCGTGAAGCAGGAATGCGTTTCGGTTTGAAGGGTGGGTCAGCCNTCTAATGAAATACGTACTCAACAAATGTTCACGATTGATTTCCACGGTGAAGGAATAACATCGTGTCATAAAAATGAAACCCGCAAAATTATAATTTGCGTAATTACTGGTGGTAGGACCTCTTGAGAGACCACGCGGGTGGGTACCACCACCCTGCCTATTTTTGCCGTGAAGCAGGAATGCGTTTCGGTTTGAAGGGTGGGTCAGCCTTTGTAACTATACTTGAGACCTTAGAACTTATATCTCAAGGTGGGTGGCGCATTTACGTTGTGGATGTCTATGGGCTCCAGTAACCATGGGCTGTGAGCTCGTTCATCCATCTAAGCAATAAAAAAAAATAAAAAAATTCAGCCACTTAGTAGAAGTAACCAACATAATTAATTACTTCGTTAAAGGTAATTTTTTAAATTGGATCCGATATAAGATTTCGTAAAACACAAACAAGTGTAACTGTATTTTTATTTTGAAGATTTGTAATATTTAAACCGTTAACCGAGCGGAAATCGTACAACGATAGACAATCTTATATCACAACGTTTGATTGCATGCAAAACGTACTGACGATCAAACGGTTACTGTAAACGGTGCTACTCTGGTTATTGGGCGTGAAGAGATGTTGCTTAGACGAAAAACCGAATTGGTTCTGCATTTTAATGAAACGGTTCTTAGAATGATATCAGGTTACGTTGTCTCACAACGATTAAACGATTATTTATGGTTTTCGTGAATGGGTGACGTGGGCACGTGGTGTTGCTTCTGCCGCTAATAGAGTTTCACACTCAATCGTGATCCCGAATGATTACCTACTGAAAATCGATTATCTATAAATCGATGTAACTTTGTTATAAATTCACGTATTGAAAATTGTAAACAATGACTAATGTGATTCGTTTGAGGCTGTATGTGATATCATAGGTCTAAAATTGTAGTAATAAATTCATTAAAGCATCACTTAAGTTTTTAAATGTTTTATTTTCCAAATATTAAATTCACCGACGAATTTTGCGTTAATTATAAATACGCGTTGCTACATATTATTTTAAATTAACACTTCCTTCATTCAAAGATTAGTCTCGGCA